TTAATGTTTTTTGGTGTTAAATCCTAAAACATGAAGTGGCATTGTTGTCAGTTGCTATGGCAACGAGTCTGCGTGTAGCTTGGCTAATACAGAGCGAGAACGTGCTTTCTCGCTCTTTCACTTTGCTGTGGATCATAGCACGAAATTAATACCTACATTTCTAAGTTTCACTGAGTTAACGTGGCTATGGATGAGATGTAAAAGATTAGTCTTTTTGCCCCCCAGCGTTGTATGCCTGCGCAAAATTTCCATACGTCCAATAACATACTGGTATAAGTCGTAAGTCAGTGCCTCACCAGCAAAGAACCTCACCGCACGTCACTGATATATATATATATATATCCCTTCTGAAAACTTCTGCTTTAACAGACCACTTCCCCCAGTAGCAGAAACTTTAGAGAGACTTCCAAGCCAACAGAAATAAAACCTTCCCACAAAGGCAGCAGTCTGTCGTTTTGATTCTGTTTGCTATAGAGACGAGCCGCTGGGCGTCACGAGGTGCCAGATTTATATATTATATATATACACGTATACATATAATATATAGGACTTTACAGTCATAGTGCATTGAAGTCTGAATCAGTGGATCAATTCAATGATTGTAATCCCAAATCTGTTTTCTCTAATAATAAACTGAATGAGCATTATTAAAAACAAGCAACAGATGATGCTTAGGAAAATGAAAACCCAATTTTAACTTGAGACTTACTGGTGGAAAGAAAGAAAAGCATGCCAGCAGCTACTGAGCCTCCAGCTCCATGCAGGATGGCGTCTCTGGCACACGGTGTCCTCTGGACATCCAGAATCCCCAACAGCTTAAAACCCTGAAGAATGACACAGGAAGCTCTGAAAATCAATGACACTCTAAGCCTTACCTAAAGGAGTAGGCAAATATCAGCAAAGTAAGCATTGCTGTCTAAAGAAGTCATTCATGAAACGTAAGACGACAGCAAAAGAAGTTTAACTGTACAAAAGTCATAAATAAAGCAAAGAAGATTAAAGAATAAAGCATTGTATAAAATACATAGAGACATTAAAGAAACAAAGGGTTCCAAACGCCTCATCAATCAGGTTCTTCAAACTAAAGCTGCTGTAAACAATCATGTTTTCACATTTTGGGTCAAGACCATTTAGTGTGTTAAAATTCAGTCTTTGACATATGAAGAAGAGGCAGTGCCGTGGTTTGAGAACTATCAGGATTCTAGCAACAACAGCAGTTTGGATAAAATCCAGCTATCTGATTAATATTTTATAGATACAAGTAAAGACATTATTGTGATAATCCAACTCAATTTTGGCGCTTTCGTCTGATAAAACCAGGTTCCATCTACTTCAAGATGAGTAAAAGTAAGCTTTTGCTATTTTAATAGGGAAAACATGACATTTATTCTAATCATAAAAAACGCAAAACATTATCCAACGATTATTTTTTAAACTTTTCATGCCATAAATTAAATTATTACAAACGAAACAACTTTCCACCGCTTTCAATGCAAACTGAGGATCATACTTTTCAAACGCCGGAGCTGTTATTAATGTAAATTAAACCGAGTCTGTGACTTCAGCTCCGCATTAACTCCAAGAACCCTTATTGAAAGATGACCGCGTAAATGTAATGCGAGTAAAATGATGTAGTGTTACTTTTAAAAGATCCGTGTATGTCTCTTTAAGGAGTAACAAGGTGAAGTGATGAAGGTTATCATACTTGTGTAACTTTGCGTGTTTCTGACCCCTTTGGCGTTGTTTCAGCTTAGCTGTCAATGCCGTTTGTTTTTAAGTTTATAATTAATACATACAGAATATTACCGAGACAGAAAGTGAATGAAATAAGAATAGATAACATTTAAAAACAGCCAATGGTGTTGACAACTGATAACCCTCGTGAAAACTGGAAGCTACGAAGCCATTGTTTCTCCAGTAAAAAGGAACACGAGCTCCGACCTTTTCCTGGCCTGCCCCTTTTTCTCCTGCCATCATTGTCCAGCGTCGCTCTCCTTCTCGGAAGTTGATTTGGTGGGAACGGTAATTTTAGTAACTGCGCTGCTTTTGCGCATGCGCCAGGTTGTCCGGCCATTCTTCATAGCCGTCGAACAACAAGTATACAGAGAATACTTAGTTCCGGACCCGACTGTTAAACAGAGTCGGACGCATTTGGTCACCACGTCACGTTCTGCTCCATAGACGCTCTGCTCCTGTTATTGTTCACGTACAAATCTGTTATATTTTCTGTAATTTTAATAAACAACTACTAGTTAATGCTTATTTGATTGCATCTTTGGTCGATTCAAGGTGTTCATAAAAACTTAAACAATATTAGATGTTTAGGAATAAATGTGTATTTCATATAAATGTAAAAAGTGCATTTGAATCCTGAACAATAAAATAACGTTTTCTCTCTCGATCTACTTTTCTATTTGTTACATACAATCCTAAACACAAAAAATGACAAAAATCTTTATTTCATATTCCTATTTTAAGTATGAAAATAATAGCTCTGTAAAATCTAGTGAAAACAGAAAATCTGTATTTTTTCATTCACCCGCATAGACATTCTTTTTTGTAATAAAGACTAACCTCAGGCGGAAAGTTTAAAGAACTTAAATAACACATTACCCGTGTAATGTGTTATTTAAAACCAATTCCAAACGCACTCATCCTGTCAGGACGCTCTGAACAAGAGGATCAAAATCTAAAGTTGACAAAGCCAAACGGGAAGCATGTCAGGGCGATCGTTTCAAGATAAAAGAGGATTAACTCGCCAGGTGATTAACCATTGCCATTACTGTTTACATCCTGTTCTTTTCCAACATAACATCATTTCATATCGCAGCGAAAGTAGCAGTTGTGTAATGTTTTTAAAGTTTATGAAATTATGATTATGAATATTATAACTATGTGTGCAGTATTATAAAATCAATTTATCTCATGCACGTTTGTTATAAAATGTGATCAGGGTAAACTGAAACGGAAAATTTGAATTCCCCATAGCGGGAGTTGAACCCGGTTCGCGTGGATGAAAATTAGGAAAACCTAATCGCTACCCTACAAGGGACAAAAATCGGCATATTGTCTCCAACAGATCAATAAACGCCGTTAAGAGGGCAATGTTTGTGCCATAGTAGTTAGTGGACCTACGTTCCTTTGAAGCATTCCTACTTAAGCTTAGGTAAGGACCTCTGACATGCCAGACGACAGTTTCATAAATTTTATTTTGAAAGAAACTGATTTTGAAAAAAAAAAAAAAAAAAAAAATTGCCTAATTTTTTTTTTTTTTTTTGTTTTTTAAGAGACTTATTTTCGTTTTAAGGTAAGATAAGGTAAGGTAAGGTAATTTTATTTTCAGCATTTCTGGAACATTTTCAGCAACAAGGCAATTCAAAGAGCTTTACATTAATAAAAAGGAAATACAAACAAAATAACAAACCATAGGAAAGACAAAAAAATAAGAAAGAGAGCTAAATCCTTTTCTGGGGTAAAAGTAATATAAACTAAGCAGTGATGTTCCTGTTAAGTATTTCTAGATTCTAAGTTCGTAGTTATTTAATTCTAATTCTGATTCCATTTCCATTATTATCTGATTCCAGAAATGGAATCAGAGAATAATATTGATCTAAATATGGTGTACTCCACAATTTCTAATATTACTAATAAACTAAAATGATCCTTTTAGTTCTTAAAAATACCAAGATCTCCATGTTGCTTTATATTTTTGGTCCGCCTGATGATTTTTAAAGATTAAATGATTCATGTTTGGATCAGCTACTCATTTCTTAAGTACCCTTTTTACCAAATATTTTACTCTTACTTAAGTAGTTTCTTGGATGGATACTTTTTACTTTTATTTGAGTAAAATTATGTTGAACTTATTTTTTTGGGAACTCTACCCACTTTTTCAATTAAACTGCTGAAATAAATCAACTTCTCAATGACATAAAACATTTTAAATGCCTATCTGGTATAAAAAGCCAAACTCTTGTTAGTTTTACTAAATTTATAGCTTGGCGTCATATTGTTTCATATCGACATCAGGTTGAACTGAAGCCTTAGGGGCTCTGCTATAGTCCTAGTGACCTTGAGTGAGGCCCAGCTCTTAATCCTGATACTTGGTGTACCAGGATGTAGAAATGATTCAATGAGAGGTTGATCCCTGGGATGAACAAAGATTTTAAAAACATTTCGTCCTTGTACCAAAATCAGGAAATCAGAGTTGATCCAATAAGCTCATCTCTGCTGTATAAAATCAGAACAGGATCGTTTTCCCCATCACACTGCCTGAAGACACCCAGGAGGTAAGTCTGTGCTGCTATTCTTAGCTGGGCGATTTACATTAATGTCTATTAATTCTCAATGTGAAGAAGTGGCAAAAAGAGAATGCCAAGTTAAATTTTATGATGAGGCTATGGACTTTGTTTTAAATTATTTGTACATCTGTTACTAAACCCAGTACTTCCAGAAAGTAAAGGGTCAAAAATATACATTAATATTTTACTAAGACATTGTTTAATACTTAAAATGAGATGGTGAAAACATTAAAACATAAATCCTCACTTTGTTTTTTCTTCCAGGATAATGGCTCAGGATAAGAGAGTGAAGTTCTCACTGACGGTGTGTTTGTTTCTGGGAGCCTCTTTATTCATTTGTTCCCTGGCCCCAACAGGTAATCTTTATAATAATTATAATACTAGTTTTATACAACAAGAACATTATAATGACTTATATTTCAACAAATTATTTAGCTAAATGATGATTTTTAATAGCAGGTAGAACACAAAATGTTTTAGGTTTAGGTTTACGTTTAGGTTTCTGACGTTTAGGTTAAGACACTATGAGAGAATATGTGATGGATATAGCCTTCAAAAATGTACACATCTCTGTTAAAATGCTAGGTTTTTATGACGTAAGAAATTAGTTCCAAACTTTTTCTACATGCAATGAAACACATATCCTGTACAATTCAACTGAAAAACAAACACATTTGGAATAAAAAAAAAAAAAATCATAATCAATCAATCAAATTTTATTTGTATAGCACATTTTAGCAATACGTCATTTCAAAGTTCTTTACGTCATAAAAACACAAAAAACTCAAAGTCATCCAATATGTAATCAACAATCAAAGGATTACATGTAGTCAAGTACCATCATTAAATTTTTAATTGATTATGTTTCAAAGGCAACTCTAAACAGGTGGGTTTCTAGTCTAGATTTAAAGGCACACAGTGTTTCAGCAGTTTTGCAGTTTTCTGGAAGTTTGTTCAAGATTTGTGGTGCATAGAAGCTGAATGCTGCTTCTCCATGTTTGGTTCTGGTTCTGGGGATGCAGAGTAGAACCAGAACAAGAAGACCTGAGAGGTCTGGAAGGTTGATACAACAATAGCAGATCTTTAATGTATTGTGGTACTAAACCGTTCAGTGATTTATAAACTAGCAATATTTTAAAGTCTATTCTCTGAGATACAGGGAACCAGTGTAAGGACTTTAGAGCTGGAATAATGTGCTCTATCTTCCTGGTTTTAGTGAGAGAGCCAGCAGCAGCTTTCTGTATGAGCTGCAGCTGTCAGACATAAATATCTTGCAACATTTTCACACCCTTAGACTAACGTCTTTTCAACAACTTTTATTCATTTCCAACATTCAGTCTTGTTTTATGGGAGTCTATCATCCTCCTATGTCTAGATAATATTTGTTCACTCTACCAAAGTTTTCCAAATCTTTCAGACTATAAGGCTATCTGTCCACATTCAAATTCAAAATTATTGAAGTGGAGGACCCATGTTCAATGCAATAATGATGATGGTTTAATGATGACATACAAAATACAAAAATCAAGGCAGCACAGGTGAGCAGAAGGCTAGGAGCTCAGAACTAGTAGCAATTGAAATAACAAAAACCGTGCACTGGGGACACACAGGCTGACACGACAAATGACAGTATGGGACCCGACAAGGAACAGAGAACACAGGTGGGATTAAATACACAAGGGGTAATCAGGGAACACGAAACACAGCTGGGAGCAATCAAGGGGTAGACGGGACAACAGAGAGACTCAACTGAACACAGAAACCTAAATTAATACACAGAAAAACCAAATCCTTACAGTATTCCCCCTCCAAGGCCGGCTCCCCAAAACAGAAAAATCCAAAAACACAAAACAACCCAACCATGGTGGGTTTCCACCCACCATGGTTGGGTTGTTTTGTGTTTTTGGATTTTTGGGCACTGAACGGGGGGCCAAAGTTAAAGAAAAAACACAAGGAAAACAAAACAAAATAAACTCAGTCTCAAATAAGTGGGTCAGAGTGGGGCCTACCGCAAGGAGTCTGGTGGGCGGCAATGAAGGAGGCGGACCCATGGAAGCGGGTCTGGAGGATGGCAGTGGTGCAGGAGGCATACCCACAGAGGTGGGGCCAGAGGCAGCGCAGGAGGAGGACCCATGGAGGAGCCCGGGCCTTGGAAGGCAGTCTGAAAACCGGCTGGAACCGGTTTTCAGACTGCCTTCTGAAAAGGCAGTCTGAAAACCGCCTTTTCAGACGGGAGGCCCCTCGATGGGGCCTCCCATCGGCCCCATCGAGGGGCCGATGGGAGGAGCCGGGGAGTCACTGGAAGGAGCCATGGAGTCACTGGAGAAGGGGCGGAGAACCCACTTACTGGGGTGGCAGGTGATACTACTTCAGCATGGGACACTGAGACCTTCACTGCGAGAGATATGGAAGCTGGAGCAGATGAAGACGAGGAGGGTGTGGGTGTGGTGGATTGTTTTCTCTGAACGAATGAGTCGTAGAGCTCAAAAACTGTTTCTAAAATAAAAGAGTAATTTTTAAACTGTTCACAGAGTAGACAAAAATCCTCTTCTGAAACTAAATAAAAAAATGATGTTCTGATGGACCATCATTTTTGAAACATCAGTGGGAGCTGTCATAGTGATTGTTGAAGGGGTGAAGTAGTCCTGTTGAGGGGTGAGCAACACGTTCTTCAATTGATCATAATCTGATCAATCTGATTATAATAACCAATAATCAAGGGGTTAATTCTCCAGCAGTGGAGAAGGCAAGATCTCAACATCCTCATAAAAATCCTTCTGGGCCTACTCCAACTGCTGCT